AAAAAACCAACATCCACCCCCTTTAAAAGCCCCGGCCCCGGCAGCCCCTATTTATCAATGGAGGGTCGTGTGAGAACAGAGCCCTGTGACCATGCCACCTGCAGTGGGGGAAAGCGGACCCTCCCGCCATCGGCCCGCGGCGTATTGTTTCAGTCCTCAAGTCGTTGCCAGCGCCGTCCTCCCTCCGCCCGCGCACATTCCAGGGCCCCGCAAGCTCCATGAAATAACGCCGCTATCTGGACACAAGGGGTGAAGACAAGCACCACGCTCTGCGCCTCCCCCTCACTACATTCCTGACAAATTCCCTCTCACATGTGCTATACGCTCTGCCCTTATGGGAAGACCGTGTGCCAGCGCTGCCGCTCACCCTGCGCTTCATCATACGGCCTATAGACAAGACTTCATCGCTGGGCGACCACCTTCTATTTTTGGGTCCTTATGGTTTTGTTGTGATATTCACGAGAAAAAAAAAAAGATAAAAAAAAAAAAAAATATTGATATATTATAGTATATATATATAGATCATTATATATTGCGTATATATATATATAATATTAAATATATAAGTTATTACTTATATAAGTTTTTTATTTGAAAATTTATTTTTATAATAAATATATATAATATATTAATAAACAAATTCAAATTAAGGCTTTATTACTGCTTTTATAATAAATTAAATAATATTTTTACCCCACAATAAATGTTTTATAATTTCATTTATAATTATATAAAGCAAGTAATAAGCATTTATTTGAAAAACTTTTTTTTTTTAATAAAATATATATATTTTATAAAAAATTTTTTAAATAAATGCTTATTACTGCTTATATAATTATAAATGAAAAATATAAATATTTATTGGGGTGGATTAAAAATATTATTTTTAATTTATTATTAAGCATTAATAAAAGCATTTATTTGAATTTGTGTTTTTTAATAAATAATTATTGGTATTTTTAAAAATAAATTTTCAAATAAACGCTTATTACTTAATTAGATTTAACAGATTTTATTTATATATATAATTGTATTTATATATATTATATATATATTTTTTATTTATTTTAAAATCATTAATTATTATATTAAGTAGTAATAAGCATATTATTTTTTTTTTTTAGAAAAATATATATAATTTATTAAAATACAAATTACAAATAAAAGCTTATTTAAATGCTTAATTATAATTAAATAAATTTTTTATATTATTTAAAAAGATGGAAGGTATTAATTTTTATATTTTTTCATTTATATTCATTATTTTAATATTAAAATAATAAAGAGTATAAGCAATTTATTTTTTTTTTGTTTTAATAAAATGTATATATTTAAATTTAGTATTTTTTTTAAATAAATTTATTACTGCTATTAATTTTATATTTATTAATTACATTTTATTTTAAAAATTGTTAATTATAATATTATTAATATAATAAGCAGTAATATAGCATTATTTGAAATTTTTTTTTTAATAAATTATATATTTATATATAAATAAATTTTACAAATAAACATTATTTTTTTACTATAAATTATTTATATTTATGGATAATTTATTAATATATATATAGATCTTTAATAATATATTTATGTGTGTGATTTAACAGGGATTAGGTTTATATTTATTGATAATAAATATATTTTTTTTTTTAAAAATTTTTTTTTATTATATAATAATTATAAAAGTAGGTAAAAAATTCATTGTATTTGAAAATTTATTTTTTAGAAAATATATTATAATTTTTAAGAAACAATTCAAATAAATTGCTTATACTGGCTTATATAATTAGTGGTAATATTTTTTATATAATTTTACCTTACTTGTTAAATTTTTATATTTGGGATCATTTTTGTTTTTTTTTATTGGTTATACGTATGGGTTAGGCAGTAAGGTTGTGCATTTTTTTTGATTTTTTTTTGGTTTTAATTAAAATATATATATTTTTATAAAAAATGGATTGAGTTTTCATATAAAATGCTTTTTAATTACTGTGTATGAGTAATTATAATGAAAAATATAAAGTGGTTTTATTTGTGGGTTAAAAATGTTTATTCTTTTAGAGTAATTTATTAAGATTTTAGCAGTATTGCGCATTTATTTGAAAACTTTTTTATAAAATATATATATTTAATTAAAAAAAAAATATTTTCAAATAAATTTATGCTTAATTACTTGAGCTTATATAATAATAAATGATGAATATAAAAATGAAAAATTTAAATATTTTATTTGTTTGGGTAAAAATATTTTTTAATTTATTATATAAGTAGTAAGGAAGCATTTTGCCTTTGTGAAATATTTGTTTTTTAAATAAAAATAACTATATTTTAGTATAATATAAATTTTCAAACGAGAAATGCTTAATTTACTTACTTATATAATTAATAATGAAAAAAAAAAAAAATTATCATAGATAAATCTCTTTTGTTTTAGCCAGTTGCCCTCCATACACAAGGGTTTGGAGGGAATCTGCCTGTCAGTGTGTGTGCTTCTGTGTAATACCGGTGTCCTTCTTGTAACACAGAGCTGCCTCTCCGCCTGTACGGAGAAGATAACTTCCTCTCTGACGTTCCTGCCATTTCCCGGGGCCCGAGACCTTCATTTTTTTTTTTTGTTTGTGCATTTCTCTTGGTGCCCTCATGATGGTCAGTTTGAACCCATGTTTCCATGTCCATCAGCACGGGGGGAGAGTGAACCGGCATCGCCCCCTGAGCCAACGGAGTGAGTATTATTCATTCCACGTCGGAATCACATGCGACGACGGATTCATAAAACCTGAGTGTGTTCTGTGATGTGCTGCCCATGAGAGTAGGAAGAGGACCGAGCTCTCGGTCTTAACCATTTTTTTCAGGGCAGTGTTGCTTCGAGCCTAAAGTACAAAATACTTTGTGACTGGCTGCAGGTCTCATCATTTACATTGCAAGGACAACCATTACATCTGACCTCCAGTCTTTCACAGGTGGCTGCTCAGCTCCTCCCCTCCAGGTCTTGCACAGGAGTGCACTGGCTCCTCCCCTTGCAGGTCTTGCACAGGTGCGCCGGCCTCCATCCCGCTTCAGTCTAGCACAGGTGCGCCGGCTCCTCCCCTTCAGTCTAGCACAGGTGCGCCGGCTCCTCCCCTTCAGTCTAGCAGCAGGTGCGCCGGGCTCCGGTACCTCCCCTTCAGTCTAGCACAGGTGCGCCGGCTCCTCCCCTTCAGTCTAGCACAGGTGCGCCGGCATCCTTCCTGCCCCTTCAGTCTAGCACAGGTGCGCCCGGCTCCTCCCCTTCAGTCTAGCACAGGGTGCGCCGGCTCCTCCCCTTCAGTCTAGCACAGGTGGCGCCGGCTCCTCCCCTTCAGTCTAGCACAGGTGCGCCGGCTCACCTCTCCCTTCAGTCTAGCACAGGTTCGCCGGCTCCTCCCCTTCAGTCTAGCACAGGTGCGCCGGCTCCTCCCCTTTCAGTCTAGCACAGGTGCGCCGGCTCCTCCCCTTCAGTCTACACAGGTGCGCCGGCTCCTCCCCTTCATCTAGCACAGGTGCGCCGGCCCGTCCTCCCCTTCAGTCTAGCACAGGTGCGCCATTGGGGGGGATTTATCACTGCTTCCTGTCTTCCCTGTCTGGGGTGGGCATTTATTACGCTCCCTGTCTAGGAGGGGGGGTTTTATTGTCCCTTCCTTTCTGGAGCGGGGATTTTTTGTTGTTCCCTGTCTGGGGGGGCATTTAATTGGTGCTTCCTGTCTTGGGGGGGGGGGGCATTTATTGGTGCTTCCTGTCTGGGAGAGGGGGGGGAATTTATTATTGCTTCCTGTTGGGGGGGATTTATCACTGCTTCCTGTCTGGGGGAGATTTACCTGGTCTCTTTTTCTGGGGTGGAGGGGGATTTATCGTTGCTTCTTTTCTGGGGTGGGGGGGATTTAATCGTCGCTTCTTTTCCTGGGGTGGGGGGGATTTATCGATATCGCTTCTTTTCTAGGGTGGGGGGGATTTATCGTCGCTTCTTTTCTGGGGTGGGGGGGATTTATCGTCGCTGTCTTTTTTTTTCTTGGGTGGGGGGGGATTTATCGTCGCTTCTTTTCTGGGTGGGGGGGATTTACCGTCGCTTCCTGTCTGTGGAGGGGATTTACCGTCGCTTCCTGTCTGGGAGGGGGATTTACCGTCGCTTCCTGTCTGGGAGGGGATTACCGTCGCTTCCTGTCTGGGAGGGGATTTAAACCGTCGCTTCCTGTCTGGGAGGGGGATTTATATCGTCGCTTCCTGTTGTGGTGGGGATTTATGATCACTTCCTGTTGTGGGTGGGTGATTTATGAATCACTTCCTGTTGTGGGTGGGGATTTATCGTCGCTTACTGTCTGGTAGATACAAAAGGAAGAGAGGAAGCGGAAATCTCTACAAGACAGGAAGTGAGGATAAATCTCCTCCAGCAACACACAGAAGCAGTAATAAACAGAATTTATCTCTTTCCCACGCTTATATCCAAAACGTTAACAATGTTCCGGCTGCAACACTTTCTATAGGAAGGCTGACATACCCCGGGTGCAGTGTATGCAGTGTTCTAGGAGGTAGTGAGGTGTAGGTAAAGTGCCAACCTGTAACTGATCGATCTTTTTCTGTTCCCCTAAGTTC